GGGTATGGATGCCACACGAGAAGTCAACTAGAAGACAGCATAGGATCTTTTTTTTAAAAAAAACAACAAACCACAAGTTTGTCCCATGCTCCATGAAGGCTGGGGGCAGGCGAACAAATGAACTTTCTCACGCGGCACTTGGTTAAAACTATGAAATTCGCTCCAGGAAGATGTAGTGACGGCCTCCGATTTGGATGGCTTTAAAGAGGATTTTGACATATTCATGGAGGGAAAGGCTATCGATGGCTACCAGCCAGGATGGCTATGCTCTGCCTCCAACAGTATTCCAAGGGAAGTACACCTCTGAATGCCAGTTGCGGAGGAATCGCAATTGCGGAGTGGGGCACTGTGGCACTCAGCTCCTGACCGGATCCTGCTTCCCATTGGGGCATTTGGTTGGTCACTTTGAGAACACAACGTTGGACCATATGGGCCTTTGGTGCGATCCAGATACAGGGCTCTTCTTGTATGCCCCGAGCTCCTGAGCATCTGCCTGGACACTGGAATAGCTGGAGCTGGTGAATCTTGCTTTGCTCCAGCTAAGCAATGTTTTAAGTCCTTACTCCTGCAGTAAAGGTAAAGGGAGCCCTGACCATTAGGTCCAGTCGTGACCGACTCTGGGGTTGCGGCGCTCATCTTGCTTTACTGGCCGAGGGAGCCGGCGTACAGCTTCCGGGTCACATGGCCAGCATGACTAAGCCGCTTCTAAGCAGCGCACAGAAACGCTGTTTACCTTCCCGCCGGAGCGGTACCTACTTATCTACTTGCACTTTGACGTGCTTTTGAACTGCTAGGTTGGCAGGAGCAGGGACCGACGAACGGGAGCTCACCCCGTCGCGGGGATTCGAACCGCTGACCTTCTGATCGGCAAGCCCTAGGCTCTGTGGTTTAACGCACAGCACCACCCTCTATATTTCTAGGCCCTATAATTGTGGAGCTGGGACCCCAAGGATCACCTCGTCCAACCCCCTGCAATGCATAGCTGTGCCATACGGGGATCGAACCTGCAACCCTGGCGTTATCATCGCCCCACTCTAACCAACTGAGCTATCCAGGCAGTGTCGATATTTTCCTTTTTTGTGGGGGGAGGGTTTACCAAAAAAAAGCAAAAAACCAAACAGGCTTGTATATTTCAGAATGCACTTTTAAAACATGCATCAGAGATAAGCACATGAACAGGACCCCACCTTTCTAATGGCAGGAAGAAGTTTCAGAGGAGTTTAAAATAAAAAAAAACTTAAGCTTGCATATGAGTATTACTATGTCACGAGGAATTCACTCTGCCATCTTTTCCTTTGGCTTCCTGACAGTTCCACCTTTCTCACACCAGAGGGTGCTAGTCCGGTAGTTTATTGCTTTTATTAGAAAGGGAAGGTTGGTTTCTGTAGGAAAGCTCTACACCTTGCCTGCTGATCTCTTCCTCAAACTGCTTTCCTGGCGTCTCTCGTCCGGCAAGCAAGCACCCGCCCCCCTTTACTTCCTTCCCTCGGAACTGCGTAAGTGCACAATGCGCCCCCAGCTTCAGAGGCACCAATTCCTTTGCAAAGGGTCAGGACCCATTGCTCCAATCCCTAATCTCTTCTCAGACCTATTTGCCCATGAAGCAACCAAATGCTAACAAGCAAAAAAACCCCAAACAACTGCAGTGCCCGATAGGCTTGGAAGCAAAAGTTCAAGGATGAATGTGGATGCGTAACGCAGTTGGGTGGAGGGAGGAGAACCGGCAAAGCTGTTGTGAAGCCAGGCGATGAAAATGCTCCAAGCTTTTGGGAAAGCCAGAGACAAAAAACAAAGTTTCCCCTGAAGCTCATAGTTTAACCTGCAGAGTCCTCTCGTTCCACACCAAAATAAAATCCCAGTATGCCCAATTCCTTTTTCTTCCTCTGCTTCCTCTCCCATTGATAAATTATGCTGGAAGATTTTGAGGGTTCAGACCCCTCTCTTTTTTTGCTTACGTCACTCTGTAAAAGCACATTGTCACCCAACGGCAATACATAAATAAGGAAGATGTTGTGCAGAGACCCAAGCCAGCCTCGGCACACTTTTCAATTCACAACACCGGCTCATTTGGCGTCCGTTTGGCTGGCAAAATGTGACTGCGACAAGGGGGCGAGAACGCAGGTTGTGCTTTGGATCCCCTTCCCCCAAAGAGACTGAGAGAAGCCACGCGATGAATGCAGCTTTTCATTTAATAGAAGACAGTTTCAACAAAAATAAAACTCCACACACACACGAAACAGAAAGGAAGGACAAACTTTTAGCCCAAAAAAAAAAAAAATGGGGGAGGGAGGAAAAGGAACACAAAATCAAACTGGCGCCATCTTCTTTTCTGTAAATGTAGTGTTAATGCAGCAAAAACTCCATGTGTGTCTGTGTGTCGGGTTGTGTGTGTGTGTGTGAGAGAGAGAGAGAGAGAGAAAAGGAATCATGGTCAAGCAGAGGGTGGGCACACAAAGTTTTTGTTTTTCTCCCTCCTGCCTCTCCAGCCTGAATTTCCATGCAGCAAAAGTGCCCTCTCAAGCTCCCTGATAAGATTTTTATTGCACTTAAGAAAAATAATAATAAAGTAAAAAGCATCAAGTTCTATGTCTACCCAACAGCTGCCACCCTCCCCCCACCCCACATTTTTTAGAGGGTGTTGCAGCGGAGAAAACGGTTCCTCTGCTAAGTCTATACAAAAAAGAGAGAGATTCCTTTTCGTTTTCGCTTCCGTTTCGGGGTTAGTACCGCAAATCTCCTGCGGAGATTTCGTTTCGTGTCAACAGGAGGAAAGTAGTCCATCGCGTAGGGGGAGAGAAGCGTGTTTCTTTTTCTTCCTTTCCTGCTAGAAACCGGGGTTAGAATCGAGTGATCCCAGTGGGATTTTGTGAGGAAAGAATTTAAGGACCCAAAGAGGGGGCCTATTCTTCCCGCCGCACCTAGACCGCTTATTTTTACACCTGTCGTCCTACAACACGGACTTCCCCATGCAAGGGGGCTGGTTGCCCTGCCTCTCGTCCTACTGGCGACATATGAAAGCATCAGTCCTGGTTTCCCATCTTGGCAAGCAAGCTGCTTCTCTTTTGGAAGAAACCTTGCCTATCGGAGCTAATCTCTGAGGCCATTTGAACCTGGTCTTTGCGGAGCTTCCTGTAATAGCCTTTGGGATCTCTTCCGCTGGGTCTCAACGCACCACCGGCGGAGGGGGGCAGGGGGAGGGACTGCACTGTTGGCTCCACCGGCTTCCCCCGCAACCCCAGGTATTTTTTTGGCTGCAAAAAAGTCCTTCCCTGAGAAATAAAATAATCAACCCCCACCCACCCTCTAGCAATACGCTTTCTGCAGCAACCCACCTCCTCCCCACTTTCGGCGCCGAACGGCCAGCCAGGAGACCCACAAAGCCTGGAGCATTTCCTCTGTGGAGCAAAACTTGGGAGAGCAGTTCGCGTTTCAGCTGGTAGTGTGTTTTTCTCAAGGAAATCGAAGTTCCGGGGGGTGGGATATGAGGTGCTGCTGTGAGGGATTCGACCTCCTTCGGCAAAAGTAGTGATTTTGGACCCCGAAAGGCCCTGGTGATAGCAAGATAACACTCTTATCACTGCAGCTGGGTCCTTGTCCACAGCTGATGTACGCACAGGAACTGTGGGAAAGCCTACAACTTTTTGAAGAACAAATTAACAATAAAAGATGAAAACTGCCCCCAAAATCAGCAGCATCCTAAGAAGTTTCTCATGTCAGTTTTATCGCATGGGGTGAACAAAATGTGGGGGGGGGGGGGAGAGAAGAGAACCACCCTGCCCTCTTCATAAACGTGCCATTTATGTAGTTTTATGGTCAGTTAAAATATTCGCTACTTCAACAGTCAAGCCATACACAGTATCACCCCCATCGTCCAAAAGTCCGGCATGGTATGGCTTGAAGAAGAACAAATCTTGATAGGAGAGGTGCAAGGAGTTTGCCTCGTTCTCTCTGCTGAAGGACAGGAGAACCCGGATCAGTCGAAGCCACGGCAGTCCTCTTATTGGTGGGCAATGGGCAAAGGTTGCCCATCAATGCACAAAAAGGCATCACACACACACACACACACACACACACACACACACACACACACACACTGGGGCGCTCTCTCTCTCTCTCTCTCAGCTTACTTCAAACAACTTCACCAGGGAAAAGCAGCTTCTTGGTGGCTTCCTGATTTGGTTCACTCCGCAAATTGGGAGGAAGCAGAGACCCTTTTCCTTTTTTTAAGGTGGTTGGAGGTTAAAAGGCGGGAGGGAAAACTGTTCCCATTCTGTTCAACAGACACCGAAGAAAAGACAAACAAACAAGGAGACGCAAGTAAGGGAGGGCGGTGGGTGGGGAAAGAGAAACTGGAAAATAAAAATAAATAGTAGTCTGTGCTGTGGGTTAAACAGCCTTCAATAGTCTTGCTTGGCAAGGGAGCTACAGCATTACGGCGCTCTCAGCCAGCGGGACCCAGGAGAGGCCTGCTCCTCTCCCAAGCATTCGTGGAAAACTGGACCTACTGGGACCTGCGGCGCTCGCGACACACACAAAGCAAACACACAGGGCCCTGTTCATCTGTAGTGTTCGCCCTTTTCCTTTTAAAGTTTCCCAGTTAGACTGGAGAGAGGCGGCGCCAACGATCCGAGTCCGCAAAACAGCCTCTCTGCCTTGTGAAATCACTTGCAAGGGGCATCCCCTTGCAAAAGGAAAAAACGAAACAAAAAACATTGTTGAGTTTCCCCCCCTGGCAAGAGTTCCAGGGAGACACACCAAAGCAGCAAAAGATGTCAAGAGTTCGCCCTCTTCTCCTGGGTCAAGGTCTCCTCGGCTCTTCTGTTTCCTGAATCCTGACCCCCCCCCCTCCAAACAGAACATCTTTTATCAGAGGGAAGACTTCGAGAATGAGAAAAGGGGGGGTGGCGGTGGGGGAAATGGTCACAGTTGGAAATGGATGCCGTTCGGGGGAACAGGACGGGCGGCGCTTGTCACGTTGCCTCTGTGTGGCAGTCAGGGGGGCGGTGGTGTTGTTGTTTTCGGAATCACGTGGTGAAGGGAGGAGGTAAAGCTAGGCAGGCGCTTCCCCAAAGAGACCCCATTGGATGCGGAATGGCCCAGAACTGAAAGAGAGAGAAAAGGAGAAGGTGGGGAGGGAAGCAAGAAAGATGTCCGGGAGACCAGAGTGGGAGGGCAACACAAGCAGATATAGACCCATATCTAATTATAAAATCACCGGCTTCTTACCAACTCGTGAAAATGGCACAGTGCTAAATTTTCAATGTAGCTGCCTTGAAAGGAGGTGGGGGGGGAGGTTTGAAACCCTTAAAGAAAATTTCATTACAATTCTCTTCAGCCCCCTTCCATTCTTAACTTTCTCCCTTCAATTTGTCCCGGGATGTTAGCACCGCGCTGACTGCTTCTGCTTCCCCATCCAGCAAGATATTGAATAATAAACATGTATTTCAGGTTATCCCCGTCTAGAAATACCACTACTCTAACAATAGTTCAAGTACCTGGCCACCCCATTCTCAGCCCTCACAAACAGTTCCCTCCTCCTCTTGCTGTGCTATATTATATACGTTTTGGGTAAATATATATAATATCTACATCTTAGGTAAATATATTTACCTGAACACCACCCAGATTTGTTTCTAACTCCATGAGATTGAGAAGCTTGACTAAATAGGCACACCAAGCTTGAATTTTCAAAATGCTCAAGTCAGTCACCAGATTCTGCTAAAGCAGTGTTTCCCAAACTTGGGTCTGCAGCTGTTTTTGGACTACAATTCCCATCGTCCTGACCACTGGTCCTGCCAGCTAGGGATGATGGGAGTTGTAGTCCAAAAACCCAAGTTTGGGGAAATCTGTGCCAAAGCTTACTTACTTAGCAAGTGAAAATCTCACTGAACTCAGCGGGACCCGATTCCTGCATAAGTGTGTTCAGAATTAATGCTTTCTCGGTGACATTCTGCTGGTGCAGCAATGCAGGGAGGAAGAGCTCCTGCCCTGCCCGCCCCCATGTTATCCTTCCTGGAGCCCCCTCTTTTAGCAGACAGCATATTCCCTCTGCCCATTTTGACACGCAACTCCCTTACCTAAAGCGTCACATTGGCTCCTGCCCCATCTCTAGGCTTGCTTCCAAAAGTAACTCCTCCAGCTCCTTCTCGTTCTTGGAACAGTTTAGCTCTGGAACGCAGAGTGGAAAGGCAGAGAATCAGCCAGGTCCTTGCCCTGCTCCCAAGGAGTGTCTAAACCTGGCCTTTGCTTCTGCGTTCAAAATCCCTGTGAAATCCGTAGTCACCTGCCTTTTAGGAGGCAAGACTCCATATGGCTGAGCCCCCCCCACACACACACAGCTCCCCCCCCCGGTTTTCATTCCTTGACACAATAAGAGTGGGGTGGAGCCTGTCTGATACCCTATATAAACGCCTCTCCCAGAATGTAAAGTGTGCTCTCTCTCTCTCTATGTGCTTACCATGTTCTACAGAGCAACTGGCCATTTTCCCATCATGCCCTGAGGGAGCATCTGGTAGTGCATGAACAAACTCCATCCTTAGTCCGTTGGGCAGCAGAGAGCTGTGAACAGCGCTCTCACACGGCCCAGAGTTCATCTTTTCTGCCCCCAAAACAGGGCTTGGTGTGGAGGGAGAGGTTTCTGAGCCAGCCGCCCGCTTGGAAGCAGCCTCAGGCGCTTGTCCGTCTGAGCATTCAGTCTTTGCCGGCTGAGCCTGCGGGGCTGGGGGGTCGCTGGGCTTTGGCGGAGAAGCCTGTGGAGGAAGAGGGCTCCCCTCTTGCCGCGTATCAGCGCCCCCTGGCGCTGCCTTCTCCGGCAGGCTCTCCACCCGCGTAACGACAAATATTTTGTGGCCTCGCCCAGGGCTGGAGACCGCGATCCTCCTCTCGTTCCCGGGAGAGCTGGCCTGGGCTAGAGGCCCACTGGTGACTCCCAATCGAGATTCACATTTTATTTCTTCCGTAGTGTTCAAGGGGGGCAGCACCCTGCTTTCGGGGCTAAGGACACCGCTGGTCTTTGGGGGGGAGGTGGCTTGGGCAAGTCGCCCGCGTGATCAGGGCTGCTGAGCTTCTGAGGCGACGGCGGGAGAGCCTTCATCACCAGCTTCTCATCCTCTTCTTCGTCTGTGTCCGAATCGGAGTCTGAGGACTCGTCGTCGCCACCAGCTCTCTTGTCGGCCTCCCCATTCTCCTGGGAGGGCGGCGCCTCCCTGATTTCCTCCCCCTCTTCCGGCGTGGGCGCCATGTCGCCGTTCTGCCCCTCGTCCTCCACCGGCCCCTCCTCGAGGGGCTCCGTGATGGTGATTTCGGGCATGGAGGCGGACTGCTGGAGCTGCTGCTCCTTCTCCTCCTTCTCTTTGGCAAGGACAAAGTTGCGCTTGCAGCCATTCTGGATCTCCGTCAAGAGGGCCTTCTGCGTCTCGATAAAGCTCTTCACCTGCAAAAGGGAGAAAGGCGGGTGGGTGAGCAGCACAGCAGCCGAAAGGCACAGGGGCGCCATTTATTGTAAAGCTGGGGTAGGCAAAACATTTTTCAGCCTGAGCTGAAAAGGCCCCCATAGCCTCCTGGACAACTTTTTTTTGGGGGGGGGCAAAGTTGGCAAGGCAAGGAATGTAAATTTTATCTTTCAATGCCAGGTTAGTTTCCCCACATATCCATGCACCTCCTCTCCATCTTCCATGCAAGCAAGTATTGTCAGAGCTCAAGGACATTTTCCAGCTTAGGCACAACATCCCAGGAGGAAAGGAAATGGGGGCACTAGGGGATAGGCTGGGAGGGTTGTGTGTGGTAGAGGGAGAGTGGCATGGGGCAGACAGAAAGGCTTGGGGCCCAAGAGTCTGAGGGTCCCAACCACCGTTGTAAGGGAAGCTGGCACAGAGCCTGAAGGTGGGCGTTTTGATGAGTTCGGCCTTGCCTGCTTGAGCTCAGATGCTGTGTGGGTTGGAAGGAATGAGAGCTTTTATGCTGGACGGAATCAAAAGACCACTGTGGCCCCAGACCAGGGGTCTGCAACCCGCGGCTCCGGAGCCGCATGTGGCTCTTCTACACCTTTGCCGCGGCTCCGGGGCGGATACTAGCGAGGGGAGGAGGCGCATTGTGCGCCCTGACACTCCTCACTGTGGCGGGCGCTGTACTGGCTGTGACGTCGCATGGGGGCGGTGCGTGCATTAGTCACGCACCGTCCCGACGTCACCTTCCCGCCCGCTGTCAGATCGCGGCTCCGGAGATATATTTGTTTTAAATGTCGCAATGGTTTTGCGGCTCCCAGTTGCTGTTTTTTCTTCGGAAAAGGGTCCAAGTGGCTCTTTTTGTCTTAAAGGTTGCAGACCCCTGCCCCAGACAAATTACACACGCAGAAGCCTTGCAAAGCATGGACCTTCATGGGCAATACAGGGGGAGGAGAAACGCTCATCAAACATCATACATTGTAGAATTGGAAGGGATCCTGAAGGTCCTCTAGTCCAACCCTCCTCAACGCAGGAATCTCAACTAAAACATCCACAACAGATGGCCATCCAACCTCTGCATGAAAACCACCAATGAAGGAGAGTCCGTTCCACAGTCGGAAAGCGCTTACTACCAGAAAATTCTTCCTGATTTTGCTGGTGTGCCCCTTTTCTCCCTGCGGCAAGTTTCAATGTGGGAGTGCATCTCTCAGGGGACTCTCTGTGGCTACAACTGCCTCACTGAGTGCACACCTGGGAGTAGCTGAGGGACGTCGGACTGACAGATCTGCAGTTTCCTAACTTGTAAGTGTACTTTTGACAATAAAGAGTTAATTACTTACTCCAGATAGCCCTTGCCTGACAGTACCATGACAGGCCACAGGAAGCTGGTCTGGCTACTGGTGTACCTAGATCAGTATCGCCCGCACTGACTGGCAACAGCTCTCGCCAGGGTTCCAGGCGGAGTCTCTCCCATCTCTACATGGGAGAGGCTGGAGGCTGAACCTGGACTCCTCTGTGTGCAAATCATGCTCTCTGCCACTGCGCCACAGCTCTTCCACACGGGGAAGGCCTTCCACAAGTGGGAAGGGACAAAGAGAAGCCAAATGCCTGACACAACTGGAGTTTTTCTACCTGCCTACAGCACACCTGTGTCTGTGCCAGGCACTGGGCCTCTATTTTTCCGGAGTGGAAGGTTTATCGGAGGCAACAGGGTTACCTGGCTGGCTGCGCTGGCATGTGCCACGTGCGGAGCCAAAGCTACGCCAGCAGAACCAACCTATAGAAACGGAAACGTGAGACGGCGGGTATCGAGTGGCTTGGACAAAGGCTTTTGCTCCCTGGCGGGCGGAATCGTGTTACAGAAAGCTTTTACAACGCGGCTTTTCAAAAGGCAGGTCAGCGGCAACAGCAGTGTGTTGTCGGCGAGGGATGCCGCTCCCAAGTTTGAGCTTGAGGGGCCTGGAAATATACATTGCTGGGAACAGGAGACAGCTGCCCACACAAAGGCATTTGCCACAAGCTCCCAAGCAGCTATTTAAGACACCTGTAGACGTCAAGAGTGCTTATGTGTTTAGTCGTGAGGGACCAGGAAAGCACATGGCTACGCCATTCTGTTTCCATGCAGAGTACACTGCTGGGTAAATGCTACGGTCCGTGGCTTCCGCCCTTTATAAAATACCCTGGGTCCATCTTCATACCATCTCCCGCTCCCAGCCAAACTCCTCCCCCCCCCCACTTTTTCAAAAGACCCTTCTTGCTTCTACTTTGATGTTTCTATCCCAACCTGTCTTAGTGGGACTCAGGGTGGTGTACACAAAATCATCCCATTTCGTGCAAGGCTGAGAGCCTTGACCCACAACCGCCTAAAAAGCGAGTTCTGGCCATTTAAGAAGGATGCTGACAAGCTGGAATGTGCGCAGAGGAGGGCAACCAAGATGATCAAGGGTCTGGAAGAGTGGCATGGGGCAGACAGTTCCTTATGAGGAACGCTTGTGGGAATTGGGTATGTGTAGCGTGGGAAAGAGGAGACAGAGGAGATATGACAGCCATCTTCAAATCTCTCTAGGGCCGTCACATGGAAGATGGAGCAAGACTGTTTTCTCCCACTCCAGAGGGTAGGACTTGAACCAATTGATTCAAATTACAAGAAAGGAGATTCCTACTAAACACCAGGAAAAAACTTTTTGACAGTAAAAGCTGTTTGAGAGTGGAACGGACTCCCTCGGAAGGTTGTGGAGACTCCTTCCTTGGAGGTTTTAAAGCAGAGGTTGGACGGCTGTCTGTCATGGATGCTTTAGTTGAGATTCTTACATTGCAGGGGTTGGACTAGATGACCCTTGGGGTCCCTTCCAACTCTACAATTTTATGGGCTAGGTGGGGACTGAAGGCTCCAGGGGCATCCTTGGTGGTTCAAGCACTCCCTCCGTGCCTAACATGAGCCGAAAATCAAACTAGGCCATCTCAAGAGGGTTTCGGCTTTCGCAGCCGCTTCCTTCCGTCTGCAACAGAAGCACAGCACAGACTCACCGATTCCTTTTTGGGCTCCCTGTCGAGGTCCAGCCTGAGCAGCGAGTGATTGACTTTCAGGGCTAAAGACAAGGCCATCAACCCTCCGGTCTTGATTTCGTTCTCCCGAAGGTCCAGCCGAAGTAGCCGGGGACTCTCCGCGATGAATTCCGCCACTGCCACAGCGCCTGGGCACCAAGAGACACAGCCAGTGAGTTCACGCGAAGGCAGGGGCCGAGCCTGTGGCGGCTGCCCTGCCCTCGGAAAAGACAAGAGAGCCGCCTGAGCACCCAGGGAGGCTGTGTGGCCTGGCTTACCCTCACACGTCAGCTTGGTCGACGCCAAGCCCAACCTCAGCACTGAGCGGTTGCTGATGAGCCCGTTCTTCAGGTTGCGGACACCTTCATTGCCGATGGGGTTGTGTCCCAGATTCAGGGTCTCCAGGCTCTGAGTGTGAGGCTGGAGATGCAAACAGGGAATGTTGGTTTGTTGCTTGTTTACTGACTGCCTCTGGGGGCTTAGTCCACTTCAAGGCAGCTCAATTTGCAGACAACACTGACCCAAACCAGGGATCAGCCCAGTCCGGTGAGTCTGCGAGCTCCCGGAGAGGAGACTGCAGTTGCTTTGTCCCTCCTCTGGTCCTGTGACTACTGCGAGCTATGCCACGGTTTGAGGATTAGCATGTTGTCTGAACCTGAGCTCATGCTTTGTCTCCTTCAGGCAAACCATGAACTGTAAATCAAGAAACACACCTTGGTAAGGACCTTGTGGTCTGTCTGGAGTGAGACGAACAATGAGTCGAGCTTTGAAAGGCACGCTAAGACAAACAACGGCTTAGCTCCCAGCAACAGAATCAAACAGAGGACCGAAGAGGCTGCAACTGCCTGTCCAGAAACCCACATGCTCACCTGTTCACACAAGGTCATGGTTTCACTTAGCCTCACCCTTGAACTGGGCCTATGGTCTAAAGACACAATTCACACAACAGGTTTTTTAAATTGATAATGGCAGCAGCACGGACAACAAATGAGAACCACCATACAGAATTCCTGCATACATACAGAGCTCTTTTAAGATGAACGTCTTTTCTAGCAATGAAGGCCTTATTTGTAGAAGGCACAGCCCAAAATAAGTAGTTTTAAAAACCCACATACAAGTTTGGGGGCCAAACGCACCTCTGTGGGAAGGGCTTTCCACAATCTGGGTTTTGAGTCACTCTGTCCTCAGGTCTGCCGGTGCTCACATGGCCCGAGAATTTGCAAGGCTCTCTGTGCAGGATTCTGGCCACCCAAGTGGGAAATAAACCCCGTGTTTTGTAAGAGAACTGGCAACTGGCTGCAGTTTAACCTCTATCCAGCAGGGACCTCATCCTTCCTCCCTACTCCCAAATCCACAGCTGTGAGGAGGGTAGAAGGCAGCCCCACTGAAACCCAAAGCAGGTCCAACATACAAGAGAGTTGTATGAAATGTTTCCTGTCTCTTAACTTCAGCCAATCCAATTCACCAGGTGTTGAGAAAGGGACAAAACGTTCTCTCCACACACTTGCAACTAAAAGCAAACATTAGCCGCTCCTTGGAGGAAAATCCTTGAGCCCCCAAGCCATTTTAGTTGTCCTGTTCAGCACCTATTCTGCGAAGGGCTGCAGCTCTGTGATAGAGCACCAGCCTTGCATGCAGACAGTCCCAAATTCAATCCCTGGCATCTCCATGTAAGCCTGGAAAGGACTTCCTGCCTGAAACCCTGGAGAGGCACAGCTGGTCAGCGCAGGCAGCAGGGAGAACCCATGGTCTGACTCAATCTAAGGGATAGCCTCCTTGGGATAGCTCCATCTGAAGAGCTCAGACTCTAAACCTCAGGGCTGTGGGTTCGAGCACCATGTTGGGCAGAAGATTCCAGCATGGCAGGGGGCTGCACTAGATGACTCTGGTGGTCCCTTCCAACTCTACAATTCTATGATTCTAAGGCAACTTCCTGCGTTCCATTACCCTTTTTTTCTAGATGGGACAGCTGAACGCAGTACAGGCAGCAAACATTTCGCGCGGGGGTCCCGTTCTCACCCTGCCTTTTTCTGGGTGCAAAAGGACCCATGTGTCAATTGGACGCCCCTAGAATGGTCACTGCCTGTATTCTAAACATGGCAGCAGCCATAGATTTATAATGGCTTTTGGTAGCAGTCTGTTGTTTTCAATACCGGGAAGGAGAAAAAGGAGGTTCTGTTTTCAAGTTGGGCTGGATGGGTAGTAGAGAGAGAGAAGCAGCAAGCGCAGCTGCCTCTGGGCTTTCCAGCTCGCAGTGTGCTTTGGTGACTCCCTGCCCCCCCCCCTGGACTGCACCAGGCCAGATGTTCCCACCCCTAACATGGGAGGGGGAGGATAAAGCTCAGTGGCAGAGCTGCCATGTTGCACTCAGGAGGCCCCAAGGCGCAAACCCCAGATAACTGATCAGCTGGGCAGAGAGGGCCAACATGTTGCCCAACAAAGCTCCCACAGAAAAGGGTCGGGCTGGAGCTCCGACTGGCCTCTGGCTCCCGAGCCAGAGAACGAGGCCCCGGGGCAGCAAGGCTGCCTGTGACTCACCAGCGTCATCCCCATGTAAGCCATGCCGGTGTGAGTCAGCTGGTTGTTCCACAGCACCAGGGTGACGAGGCCTTTCCGCTGCTCCTTCAGCCCCTCGCAGATGTAGGCCAGGCCTGTGAAGCGAATGACGAGCAGTTGAGGGAGGGAGGATGGGAGTCCTTTTTCGCAGCCCTCGTTAGACGCGACACCAGCTCAGTCGGACACAAATACCCAGCCACCATCGGCTTTCGGAGGCGGCACTTTCCTTGTCTCAACTAATCCCCCTCCCCTTTCTCTTCCCCCTCGCTCCGCCAACTCGGCTGTCACGGTGGCAGCCGGGAAAATTTTGTGCACTCGTTGGATTTGTGTTTAAAAGGACAGAAGAGAGCACCACAAGAACACATTTGCATTTTCTCTGCATGTCCGATTCAGGGAACAGCTAAATCGGTTTGCTCATCAGATTTATATCCTCTGACGGCAACAGCTGGGCAAATTCCCCGTGTTAAGTTCAATTGGTTCTTTTGGTTCTAGTTAGGAGGGGGATTTTTAAGAAGGGGGAAACTGAAGACGGCAACTTTTTATCTGGTTGTAAATATCCAACGCCGCCTTCCGTTATGTGCAAAAGACACCCACGTGAGGTTCTGGTAAATGCGTCACGTTTTATTTCAAATTAAATGTGTTCAAGGATTTAACCAGTTGACAGGCAGATGATCAGAGCCAACGAAACTCATTTAAGTAGCCGATGGCTCTGTTCTTCCAAATTAGAAGAACTTCTTGCTGGTGAGTAGTTTGGCACAGCTAAAATAAAAAATATATTAATTAACACACCAGACATTATAAGCTTCCCGATACAGGGCTGCCTTCAGGTGTCTACGGAAGGTTGTATAAGAGTTTATCTCTCTAACGATGCCAAACAGCATGTGTTGAAACAACAGAACCCGACCATTTCTTGGAAGAGAATTTGAGCCGCCCTGGCCTAGACCGCAACTATTGTCTTTCTTCTTCAGCACACTGCAGAGACACAGCCTGAGGCCTCCTCTCGGTTTCTCAAAGAATTTGGGGGGAGACTGAAGCAGGGATCCCTCACCTGAGTCCAGGATGTGGTTGTTCCTCAGGTCCAGGATCTGTATAAAGCAGTTGAACTTCAAGAGGTTGCCCAGCTGAGCAGAGTCCTGGAGGCTGTTCAGCTTGTTGTCAGCCAGGTAAAGCTCCCGCAAATTCATGTTCATTTTAAGAGCCGTTGCTGGAAAGCAGACAAAGGGGAGAATAAAATTAAAGAGAAGTGGCTGCCTTGCTAAGGAAATCAGCCCTGAGTGCTCACTGGAAGGACAGATCCTGAATACTGAGGCTCCAATACTCCAAGTCCCACCTTCAAAGAAATGACTTGCAAAAGGCCAAAAGCACTTCCAGAACGACACTCCTTTCAGGTGGGATTCAATCATATACCAGCAAATTGAGGCTACACTGTTATAGTTGCTTTGCTCCTCGAGTGCAATAAACCCACTTCCTCAAAATAGTGGGCTCTAATTATGGTGCTGGAGGAGACTCTTGAGAGTCCCATGGACTGCAAGAAGATCAAACCTCTCCATTCTGAAGGAAATCAGCCCTGAGTGCTCACTGGAAGGACAGATCCTGAAGCTGAGGCTCCAATACTTTGGCCACCTCATGAGAAGAGAAGACTCCCTGGAGAAGACACTGATGCTGGGAAAGATGGAGGGCACAAGGAGAAGGGGACGACAGAGGACGAGATGGTTGGACAGTGTTCTCGAAGCTACCAGCATGAGTCTGACCAAACTGTGGGAGGCAGTGGAAGACAGGAGTGCCTGGCATGCTCTGGTCCAGGGGGTCACGAAGAGTCGGACACGACTAAACGACTAAACAACAACGGCTGCCTTGCTGAGCCTCCCAGGTGACAACAAGCTTTCTGCCTGCCCAGCTTAGCAGCGGCTTTGAGTCCAGGCCACAGACCCCCTGTGCCACTGATGCATCCCTTCACAGGGCAAGCCCGGGGCTTCGGCCTGTTATGAGTCTGCCAGCAGCAAGTAAGGAGGAGAGTTGGGCCTTGCCCCTTAATCTGACCTTGGCCTAAATTAGCCCACCAGCCAACTGGCCGACTGTTTGAAACCAACAAGTTAAATACTGAGGTCTGCTGTCTTTCTCCAGTTTTCCTCAGTGAGACAACTCCCCGTTCCTGCCCACAAGACAAGGTGGACAAATCTAACTGGCTGCCCCGTGGGGATGGAGCAAGGAGAGGCACAATCCACCAGATGTTCTAATAAGGCTGTAATAAGTGAGTAAAGAGGAGATAAGGTGGGGTCGCTTCAAGGGCAGGTAACGTATGAGAAAATGGCAGCGGTGTCTTGGAAGCCTACGAAATCTCAGGAGGGGAACTGCCTGTCCTGCCCAATACAGAGAACTGTCTGAAAGCCATGAGTTCTCATTCAATCCGCCTGCCTTATGCCTGGGGCTGCGTAGAGACCACAACTGGCTGGTAAAGACTGGCTACCCAAGAGGAGGAAGAGAATGGAATTCAAGAACCAACCCCTCCCTGCTCTTCATTTATAGACACCTGGAACTGAAAGCACAAGGTCAGCCGCAGCTGGGCATTTGTCACTAGGCGGCACGTAACTGAAGGCGACTGTCTTTCAAACTTCACCCATTATTCCTAGCATTCTTTAGGCTGGCTCCTATTCATTATTAATGCCTTCGGCAGGATGCAAAAAACCAGGTGTGGGCGTTTCGTTCTCCCAAGTTTAATACCGCTTCTCTTGGTATCTCTCACCTGGGCTAATCTTAAAAAAATGACGCCTTTGGGAACTGGAGTCCAATGTTAGTGGTAAAGCCTGGATTTCATACTTGGAAGAGTCAGGATGAACCAAAACCAGAGCATGTGTGGTTCCTATTCAATCCTCCCCTATATTTTTCGACACCTCCCCTGCCCCCCATCATGGACTCTGCATGCAGATCTGGGAGCTTTGGCAAGGCAAGGGTGCCCTTTGAGCCTCCACACTGCGCCTTTCAAGGATCTAGGCAGACTGAAGAGCCCAGGGGTGAGGGAAGGCAACACGGGGGCTTCTGCCTGCATCAGTGGGGATTGCTCTGCCCCTCGTTATGACCATCAATTCTGGCACATTCGCAGTGCTGCAGAGGGATGCCTTTGGCAGGCAAGGAGCCCTCGCAGAAAAGACGCCTGCTAGCAGCAAGCTGAGCTCTCAGCGGGGAATTAGGAAAAGCGACAATGGAAGCGGAGGGTCAGCAAGAGAGAAGGGCGTTTGGCTGGGGACACAGAGGGCAACTCAAGCTGTTCACCTAGCAACATAAGGGGCCGCCCCGACAGGCTGGCGTTCTCCAGGTGCAGCACGGTCAGGCTGTTGCTGATGCGCAAGGCGCGCGCCACAAACGGTGCCGAGTGATCGAGCAGAGGGGTGTTGCGGGCGTCCAAGTACTGGAGGCAGTTTGTCTGAGGAAGGAAGGAAAGGTTGAGAGTCAGGTCATAGAAAGGTATGAACGGTGCTGTACCTGGATATCAACAAACGTTTCAGCTCAGAACGCCCGTGAGCCAGAGATGCTCTTAGCCAGCACCTCAAAGCAGGTTGTCGCGCAGCCAAGTCAAAGGGCTGGAAGCAGCCAGAAGAGTATGCAGTGGACCAGACATGCGCAGCAGGAGAGAACAATCAGTATACAGTGATACCTCTGGTTACAAACTTAATTCGTTCTGGAGGTCCGTTCTTAACCTGAAATTGTTCTTAACTTGAAGCACCACTTTAGCTAATAGGGCCTCCCGCTGCCGTGCAATTTCTGTTCTCATCCTGAAGCAAAGTTCTTAACCCGAGGTACTATTTCTGGGTTAGCGGAGCCTGTAACCTGAAGCGTCTGTAACCCGAGGTACCACTGTACTGAAAGTGAAACCATTGCTGCTCCTGAGTTCTCATGCCACCAGCACCCGGCTGCAGCCCGTGGCGAGGGACACAGCTTGTGGTTTCACTCATGATATAACGCCGGGTGAAGCAGCCATCTCGCACTGGCCCTCATACCGCTGACGGGAGAACAAGCTGCGTCGGCCAGGCCAATGGAGCTTGTTCCTCCCTCGGCTGCCCACACAGGCAGGCGGCTTGTTTCTATTTCTGCGTTGAGGGGCGCATGGCTGCCTGCTTGCACAAGCTGGAGGCTCTGGCAGACTTCTCCGTTTAGGAGCTAGCAACCGCACACCCGCACTCCTGAACAGACAAAGAGTTAGCTCACACCCCCCTGCACGAGCGAAGGGGCGGGCTTCTCAGATGATCAAGCCCCCCGTCTTCAGATCGCGCAGGGTGGGTGGGTTAGCTCTTCCTCCCAGGAGGAAGTCCTGGGGCTGCCTTATGCTGCCACCGGGCCCGGCGCTTGGCATCAGGCAGCCCTGCTCCACAAGCTGTGGATGGGGTGCCTTGTGGAGGGGTACAGAGGCTGCTGTCGCTGTTTAAAGAGAAAAAACTTTAGAGAGACTTGTGGTTAAGATTCCTGTCTGCTGTGCAGGCTTTGCATAGCACTCCACACTGGGGAAACTATTCTATTTGCAGCTAGGAACAGCAAGATCCGTAAGCCCGTTAAAGCAGGAGATTATCAACGAGTTCCTGAATTAAGAGAGCGCGGGTGTGAATAGGGGTGTGTGTCAATCTGAACTTACCGTATTTTTCGCACCATAGGACGCACTTTTTCCCTCCTAAAAAGCAAGGGAAAATGTGTGTGCGTCCTATGGAGCGAATGCAGGGGGGAGGCAGGCGGCAAAAGCCCTCAAGAGCCGCACACAAGCTTCGTGCGCTCTTGCGGGCTTTTCTCCAGGAGGGAGAAGGGACTGGCTGGCTGTAGCAGTCCCTTCTCCCTCCTGGGGGAAAAGCCCCCAAGAGCGGCGCCCTCTTTAAAGGCTGTGCGGCTCCTGCAGGCTTTTCTACGAGGTGGGGGAATCCGCCCACCTCCCAGAAAACCCAGGAGAAGCCGCACCGCCCCTTTAAAGAGCGAGCGGCTTCTGCGGGAGGTGGGGGAAGCTGCAGCAGATTCCCTCCTCCCGGGTTCCCTTTGAGGCGGCAATGTGGGAGGGGAGCAGCTTACACTCGTGTAAGCAGCTCCTCTCCCACTTTCCTCCTTCAAAGCAACTACGGAGGAGGGAAGGAAGAGGACCATGGATCCTCCGCTGCTGGAGGCTTCAGCAGATTCCCCCCTCCGTGATTGCTTTGAAGCAGGAAAGTGGGAGGGGGGCAGCTTACACTCGTGTAAGCAGCTCCTCTCCCACTTTCCTCCTTCAAAGCAACTACGGAGGAGGGAAGGAAGAGGACCATGGATCCTCCGCTGCTGGAGGCTTCAGCAGATTCCCCCCTCCGTGATTGCTTTGAAGCAGGAAAGTGGGAGGGGGGCAGCTTACACTCGTGTAAGCAGCTCCTCTCCCACTTTCCTCCTTCAAAGCAACTACGGAGGAGGGAAGGAAGAGGACCATGGATCCTCCGCTGCTGGAGGCTTCAGCAGATTCCCCCCTCCGTGATTGCTGGGAGCTTCTCTGGGCAGGAATTCCCTCAGCTTAAGTGGGGTGGGGGAAGTGTGGCAGGTAGGGGGGTACCTACCTAGACAGTGAAGCCACATGTCTCTCCAATGAAAATTGGGAGTGGGCATTGTGTGAAGTGGCTATGGATCTCCTGCCGCAGAAGTGTAGGACTGTATAGAGTTGGGAGGGCCACCCGAGGGTCATCTAGCCCAGCCCCCTCACAATGTAGGAATCACAGCTAAAGAACGCCAGGCAGATGGTCCCCCAACCGCTGCTTAAAAGCCTCCAGTGGTGGAGACCCCAAACACCTTCCGAGGTCATAGAATTGCAGGGTTGGAAGGGAACCCCAGGAGTCATCTAGTCCAGCCCCAGTGGACAGCAGGCGCAATCCATCCCGTTGCGCAAGACTAAAGATGCTGCGCAAGGCTAAAGAAGAAGCCAAGGCAGCGAGCGGGATGGATCGCGCTTGCTGCCTTGTCTTCTTCTTTAGCTGCACTGGAGAGGTTTAGCTCCTGGCTGGAGAGGTTGTGCGGCTATGGACCCCGCGCGCTGTCTTGGCTTCTTTGCTCTTTGGGGCTGGGGGGGGGGAACCCAGGCTTCCCCCGCAGCCCCAAGAAGCTCTGGGAGAAGTGGACAGGCTGCGTGCAGCCTGTCCGTTGCTCTTTGGGGCTGGGGGGGAATAATATTTTTTTCCTTGATTTCCCCCTCTAAAAACTAGGTGCGTCCTGTGGTCCGGTGCGTCCAATAGAGCGAAAAATACGGTATTCTATGCTTTATTACTGCAGATCATGGCGTAAGTAAATGGACTGGCATAACTTAACAGGAAGCGAGATTCCCCACTATGAACCTTGCTTGACCCTGGAACCAGCTTTATCACAGTGTGTTCCGAAAGCCATTCAGGAAAACATCCTGAGCTCCTCATGCCTGGCAAAGGTCAGCAGGTATAGATCAAGTCGCCAGCAAAGTCTGTTTCAACACCTGAATGGATGCCATCGAGATAACAGTGAGATAATGCGAAGGTGGGAGGCAGACGAAAGGATCACCAAGGTTTAGTCAATTGCACATGGGAACAGATTCTTTCAAGCTTTTGTAAAGCAAAGCACACAGAGTGGGAAGCAGGCGGGAAACAATAAAATTGGAAATTATAGGAATTGTTCATCTCAAGGCCCTCCTCCCTTTTCGCATGGAGGGCATGGGCTGAAGTCAGGATTTTTAAAACCCCCCGTCAGCTCTCGCAGCTCCAAAAACTTACCCAGCGCTCTCAAGGAATCAGCACAAACCCACTTTGCCTTAAGGACACGTATACCTCCCCCTCCATTTCTGCCTTACTTTTAGTCTGAGTTCTGTGGCACAACTGTCACAACACATTTCTATGGATTTTTAAAAATAGTTAGGGAATCTTGTACTCTTCAGATCAAGGTGTGTGTATATGATAGGATTTGCTACCTGCTTAAATTGTAATTTTGCTGGAACATTAATATAGTCTGTCCTACTGGAGTCCCTATGTCTGCCACTGGCACCAGACAGTACAAATTTCTTCCACCAGGGAAATCTACAGCTGGGCCCATGGAATCGTGGAGAACCTGTCAATGCTCACTCTAAGGGAGGGAAAGTCTTTTTCTCTTGGCTGGGGGTGGTGGTGGTGCAATAACACTGCCCCAGAAATGTTAACTTATGGCATTTCCAGGCAATGGGAGCTGCAGCTTGACGGTGAAACTGGGCTTGGGCATGAATGAGGACACGGGCTCAATGCTTGCCCTCTTTTTGCAAGACTACTGCAAGCGATGCAAATTTCGGGGGCGGGGAAAGAAGAGGGGAAATGCTTTCTAACCATGAATACAAACCTTCCTCATCATGTGCGCAGCTGCCTGCCAACCTCGTGTGCCGATGTGTTTGTTAAATGAGATGTTGAGGTGTGTGGCTGACTCATAGTACTCAATCATATCAAACAGCGCCGAGGCACCCTGGCAAAAACAAAAGAAGAAAAACCAGGGCTGTTAGCAAGGGTGTGGCCGCAGCAGCCTGTCCTGGGTGCGACCCAGAGAGGGCGCAAAATGGGCAAAGTTCATGCAGCAATACTGATAATCTTTTAAGACAACATTACACAATGTACAAGTTCCCTTTGTGGTTTGAAACGAGGTGCGCTTTTCCAAGGCGGTAGATCCAAACCAAGTATCAACTTGCTCACAGCCCAAATCTGCATGTGACTACTTGGGAAGTCTCGCTGTGTGCAAATGGAGCAGACTTCCAGAATCGCAGCACACCTTGCCACAAGGCCTCACTGACCCGGTCCTGCAGCCTAACACAGTACAGCACATCACTCAGCTGGTTAAGAGTGTGGTGCTGATAATGCCAAGGTTGCAGGTTCGATCCCCGTATGGGGCAGCCGAATCTTCCTGAGTTGCAGGGGATGGGACTGGATGATCCTCAGGGCACCTTCCTCAGCTACTGAGTATTACTGATGGGAGAGGAAGGAAGGGCGAGACTATCCGGAGACAGCAAGCAGGTCTTTTGCACAAGTTTCAGAGCAGTAGGAACATGGAAACTCCGCAAGCAGTAAAGGTCTGCAAAGAATCAAATTCAAAACTCTTCAAATTTGATCCTCGATTTATGAATGCACCTGCTGTTATTTGTTCATCGCTACTTCTCAAATGCCATTTCTGGTTCTGAAGTTCTGCAATGAAATGTATTGTTCGTCTAATTTGTATACTGTGGAGCTCAGGGCTAGTGGGAGGGGGAAGGAGACTGGAGGCTGCCCCCAGGGAAATAATTGGCTAGTCATAGCACTGAAAAACCAGTAAACTAAGTCAAGGAGACAACACAAGACCTGTCTTGCTCTATGCTTCCAACCACAAACTATTTGTTATTTCGCGTTGGGACTTGCTTATCAACAAGCCTATGAGAGGAGCAGACTGAACTGGCACGATGTACTCAAATGCAACTCCCGTAATTTGCATGAAGAGGGAACCACAACACATCGCTGATGGCTGTGTAATTTAAGCTGAGACACTCAGAGTAGACCCACTGAATTACTTGCCATGACTAGCTTAGGCTCATTCATTCCAACGGGTCTACTCTGAGTAAAAGTTAGCTGACTACAGCCCTAGATTTATACTTTTTAACAGGGAGCGGGCAGGGGGGGAGAGGGAGAATTTGGAGCTGGTCATCCATCACTTTCAAGTGCCTAATAAATGAAGGGGTCATTTTTATTTTTGTTTTAATGCTGGATGTACATCTTAACAAAGTGGGCCATAAACCTTGTCCACAGATGGAGTGGGAAGACATGGCAGAATCCCAAGGTGGAATTGTGGGGGGTGGTCACATTTAAGTCCTCATGCAAGAAGAAAACAAGCACAAAAGGGAGGACATTTTTAACCTCATCCATCTCCCAGCTGTGCCAATTCTCCACTTGCATGGAGCTTTGCTAGCTTTTTAAAAGAGGGAGGTTATTCAAGAATAGCAACCTATATTCTGAAGGAGCACAATTCACTTTTCCCTACATTACAGGGGGTTGAACTAGATCAGTGTTTCCCAACCTTGGGTCTCCAGCTGTTTTCGGACTACAACTCCCATCATCCCTTGCTAACAAGACCAGTGGTCAGGGATGATGGGAATTGCACTGAACTAGATGACCCTTCGGACACCTTCCAATTCTACAATTCTATGATTTAATGTGCAGATCAGGCCTTAGACAGGGTCCAGGGAGTGATGAGAACGAACCTTTGTGAGGCCACCTCAACCTGCCACCACTCTCACCCTACGTGACCACCAGCAGCTCAACAGGATTTTAGATTTGAACACCCTGCCTCTTCCAAATTAAGGGGCATCACTAACGTGTCTTATGAACAGGGCCCCCAAAGCCTAGACAGAGCCATCACTAGCCAATGTTGGGAATCCACTTTCAGGAAGCACTTTGCTGCAGTTTTTGAAGAGCAGCTTGTCAAGATATCCAGTCTGAGGACTCAAGCCAGTCACACCATTTGGAGGGACCCGTGATCTGGTAGCAAAGCTCTGTGTTCACAAGGGCCCAGGTTCAATCTCCAGCCACAGGCCCGGGGAAATGCTTTGCCGAAGATGCCAAAGAGCTGTTGGTGGTGGGAACAGACAACACTAGGCCATATTCCTTATATCTAAACGCTCAGCCCCGAACTGTAAGTTCCTCCATGTTAAAGAATGGCAGGATTCAGCTCAGCTGACTGTTCACAAGGGGTGGGGGGGGGTGGAGGAGAAGAAAGGCAGTTCTTTATATGTTACATGCAAACCTACATCTTCATCTAGGTTCGTTTGCTCCAAATCCACTATTTTGAACTGGAGGCGCTTAAAAATCTCTTCCAGGGCCTCGCAAGCCTTGTAGTCTAACTTCTCGCCTGGAAAACAAGAGACAAAGTAAATCTGCAAGCCTCCAGCATTTAAAAGGGTTCACTGTCAAGCACAGGATGCATTACATCCGTGTTTCTCAAATGTGGGCCCTCAGCTGTTCTTGGACTACAACTCCCATCATCCCTAGCTAGCAGGACCACTGGTCAGGGATGATGGGAGCTGCAGTCCAACAACAACTGGGGACCCAAGTTTGAGAAACACTGCATTAAAAACTGGAAAACAACCGGGCTATAGAGACCCAGGCATTAAGGTGCAACTTGGTGGGGTACAAAAATGATTTAAACCAGGGGCGGGGTGGGAGGCTGGTTTAAACCAGACTTTCTAATGACACTTCACCATCTATTCCCTAAACAATGGTGCAAGTCTAAATAGGAACATTCTAAAAACACCTGCTGCATGAGAGCTAAGAACTGGCGTTCTAAATATTACAGGAATGGCAGAGCTACCGTATTTTTCGCTCTATAAGACGCACCAGACCACAAGACGCACCCAGTTTTTGGAGGAGGAAAACAAGAAAAAAAATATTCAGAATCCCAGAAGCCAGAACAGCAAGAGGGTCGCTGCGCAGTGAAAGCAGCAATCCCTCTTGCTGTTCTGGCTTCTGGGATAGCTGCACAGCCTGCATTCGCTCCATAATACACACACACACTCCCCCTTACTTTTTAGGAGGGGGAAAGTGAGTCTTATAGAGCAAAAAATACAGTATTTCTTAAACATATATCCCACCCTTTCCTCCAAAGGAACCCAGGACATTAAGCTGAATGTTTTGCACCACGAAGCATCGTTGGCGCTGTACTCCAAATATGAAGAACGACTGCAGGCCTGGGCTTCGTTTCTGCTAAGGAGCCAGCAAACCCAAAGTGGCAGCTCTTTCCCCTCCTCCTGCCCAATCACATACCATCTGCTCAGCCACCGCTTTGCTTTTCCACTCCAATGAAGTCCCCACCCTTGTATGCCTTGGGGCCTTCGCAATCTTCTCCGCCCTGCCCACTAGGACTAGCCTCTCAACGGCAGCAGAAATTTCACAGGCAAACTCTGTACGTAAACGTGGCCTGGAGTCAGCAACCTGTATCCGCAGTACGAACGGGATGCTCACTCGTTTGTTTGGAAGGAGCAACTCGCTGGTTATGAAATATGAAACCAGGTGAGGGAGTGGGAGAGGCGAGGGGGGGATGACCCCACGTAACCCCAAATCAGGGCCACGTGCACCTCTAGTTTGGAGTCAGCCGTGTGTTCCATTTGCATGTGCCAAACATGGTTACACAATCTGGTTCATTTCCAAACATTTGCGGGCTATTGCAAATGTTAAATCTGGGACCAGAGAAAGGATTTGGGATGTGAACAAAATGGGGTGCTGTTGGGGGGGGAGGGTTGGAGGAGGGTGTAGATGCATGCTGGCAAACCTCTGAAATAGTGAGCTGGCTTCAGAACGCAAGATTTCCATGCGTTTGCCAGCAAAACAAGACCTCTGAGTTTATCAAATCTGCACATGACACTATGTTGTAACACCTGTGGCCTAGGCAAAATGATCCCACATTTACAACACTGAACATTCCTTCTCCCCAACCCCTCCTAATCTCCAAAGAGGACCATTTTCAAGCACAGACTCCCAGATAGAAGGTTTGAGGGATCAGTCGCAGAGAAATAACCAGAGTCGGCAAGGTGATCGTGATCTGCACTGTGTCAACAGAAGACTTGGGAACGGAAATATGTACCTTTCAGATCCAGGCACTCTATCCTGGGAGTCAAGTCTTTATATTCCTGCAATAAAGCAACAACAAATTACTACACACGGAAGGGAATGGCTTAAAGGTAAGATATAATGAAGAAGAAGACCTAAAGGGAAGCATGGACAGCCCAGTGTTTCAAAAGCTCTATGTAATATGAGCGTCTTTCATTTCCCAATCTGATCCAGGCCCAGCCCAATTTGGTTCAGATCCAGAGTTAGGAACAGGTCCGATGAGAGGAGATATCCCGATATATAAGGGGTAGCTCCTTTCTCCAGGACTGGTTTGGGCTGCTCCTGGGTCCAATCTGGAGACTGGCCTTTTTTAAACAACAACACAATTTCCTTTTTTTTTTTTAAAGAAATGAACAAGACAGATGTACACACATTTACACGCACACTTCTAATAACAGATTTAATAATAAAATTCCCCAGCTAATAGAAGGGCGAAAAGTTCATTACACCAATGTAAACAATGACTAGGGATGCACATAATCAAATCTGTCATTCCAGAAACTGATAATAGCTAGCCACTTCATAACAAAGAGGTTTTCATTCATCGGCCCAAATATACAATGCAAGTGTGTGCATTACACCGCAAATCCCGCAAAACAAGTAGAGGTGGGTTCATTTTCTTGCCCTGGTTCATGATAATTGACATTTTGGTTGCTACTGGTAATTCTTCAATCATCTCAACATGAGCTGAAAGCTCAGTTGATGATTCTCTGTCCCAAGCTGTTGTTTTCAGAGAAGGAAGGGTTTCAAGTCAAAATAAGGGGCAAAATTGTCCTCCCTCTTTCACACCCTGGGTGTGTAAATGGCACCATTCTGAAGGTTCCTGGGAACCCAAGTACTTGAAGGGGGACCTCTCCCTCCCTCGGCCTGCCCAGCTCTCACGTTCTGCAAAAGAGAGGGTCTTCGTCTTGTCCTGCCAATGGGTGTTGCCCATTGTGCAATGACATGGGACATAACGTCCCATGTCATAATGTCCCCGTCTGGGGAACCCCTGCCCTTTGGAGTGGGTCTCTGCTGCTGAATTGGAAGATCTTGTTCCTTTTGCTTGCTTCCAGCAACAGAGAGAGCAGCACTTCCTAAAACCACCCAAACGGCAGCCGCTATGGGAAAGAGGCTAGGAAGCTGCTCGTTGGAGCAGTATGGGCTCTAGATCACGGTTGCCTGCATGGATAGATTTATCCCTGTATGCTTTTAGGGAGGGCCCAAAGCTCAGCATCTTCAGTTACTGTGTGAAGCACCTTCCGTTGTTCATAACCTTGCAGGCTCACTTAGCTCTCTGGGCTCTGGCCCAGTTCCCTCTCTAGGTTAGTACAGCCATCTTGGAAGCAATGGAAAGACACACACAAACCTTGTCCTTGTTTAGTGTTTGCTGCGCTACATGGGCCTGGGCTGCAGCCTTTGAAATACATGTCACCCAACTTCAAGAGAGGACTTTTTTTATTACTGTTCAGTTCCAGCGATAGCCAGCTTTCTTCGGTGTTTATAAAAATCCATCTCTGCCTTTGACAGACGAATCTGATAAGCGTTTGTGCTGCGCACTTAAGGAAAGGCACATACCTGGATCTGCTTCAGTAGTTTGGGTATCTGTTTACAGTTTAACTTCTGACAGGCTTGCTTGTAGGCGGTGATAATTTCTTCCACAGTCACATTCTGAGCTGAAAGAGAGAGAGAGAAAGGATCACACTGATGGTTAGCAGTCCATTTGATTTATGCCGCCTACACACTGTAAGGAGCCTTTGGGGTGGGACAGGGTATTTTTAAAAGTCAAACAACCAGATAAACAAATACACATCAAGTAAATTTTCAAAAGCCGTATTGCAATTTCACAGGTCACCTGTCATTAGTGGTGAGTGCTAGCTAAAACCTTGCAACCAGATTATAATATAGTCCTCTGTCACATACCACTCTTATTAGCAGAAGAGTGGTATATATAAATATTAAATAATAATAAAGAACACTTTCTTGCTTGTAAGAGCCGCAACATGCACAGGGACCAATTCTCCATCTCTTCATGCATTAGGAAGTTGCAGAAGAGAGTAATAGGGGAAACTGAGGCGGCAGAGAGGGGAACTGGAGTGATGTTTTTGTGTGTGCCAATGAAATCAGTTGCAGGACTAGTCATAAGGATTTGGCTCCTTATGCAAACTTTTATTCTCAAGTGTTCAATACCTGAGAAAAGAGATTGGGGGCATTTTTTTTAACCTAGGTGCCAGCATTTGGTTTCTAGGATTTTTCCAGCCCTGTCCAAGCAGCCAGCATTTTTGCTGGTGTTAGCAGATGTTGCATAATGAGATGATTTGCCAGAATCCCGACAGCAGCCACAAAGCTTTGTTCACTGGAGCAGGGAATCGGGTACCTCAGGTGCCAGATAGTCAAATTGATTCAAGCAGCAGAATGCAGATGGCTGAGCTCAGAAACTGGATTCTTTCAAAGCTGAAAGCTAGCATCACCACTGCATTTCAGGTGTTCAGAGCTCCTTTACACACATTTGCTTACGAAAGAGGTGTAAGGGGTGTTAGGCGAGGGAGGCACGTCATGCTCTTTCTGAGGCAGCTTGTCCACCTTTGGTCCCCACCCTGATCTTTGCTCTCACTTGCTCCTAGAAGCTGTTAGAATGGAAGCAGCCACACCTCAGGAATGGCTTTGACTGGCGGGCTAAACCAGATGAGGGTAGCCAATGGGTATCAAACCCTCAGTGAGTTAGGGACTTCTACTGCATGCAAAGACAGGATCCAGCAGATTGAGCAGACAAGACCAATAGCGCGTCCAACGGTCAAGAAGGCAGATTCTGCACGTGCTGTAGAGGGAAGTGAGGGGCAGGTGGGGCTTGTCCACCTGGGAAGGGAGCCCATCTAGGAGAAGGAAAACTCTGGTCCTCAACCTCTGCTGCCTTGCAGAATATCTTTGGGAGAAGAAAAAGGCTAAGGAGTAAACCCAACACAAATCTGGAGTGGCGTCCCTAAGACAACTGGATGGTCCCTTGTATGCCTCCTTCCGGCAACTCCTGCAGCCAAGCTGGTACTGAATGTATTGCTCTGCTTTCCTTTGGACCACATCAGTGAGGCCAAGAGGAGGGGTGTCTTGTCTTCTGGGCAGTTCAGGACCTCCACAACCACTGCCCGGGGGCTTGCGCCCAGAGAAGTCACTTCGGTGCTGCTAACACAGCAGTTAGACTTTGCCCCTAGAGGTGCACTCCATTGTTTCAAGACAGTCAGATGCCAACAACAGCTTATGGGAGCTCTGAAAAGTGATACCAGCATTTGCACCCCCAAATTGCATGTGGAGGTAAAGGCCAGGATCCAGAGCATCACCCTACATGTGCACACAGGATTGGGCATGCCCAGTGGGAAGCTTGCCTTTATAAAAGTAAAAACCACCAAGAGAGTTTGATCCCAAATCTATCAGGCTTCATTACAGATTAAAGAAAATAATTCAGCTAAATGGATAGTTAATTTAAAGCCTCACCTATGACCATTGGTGAATAAATTCACTACAGTCATCCCTCATGTTACGTTTGCTTCATGTTACGTTCTTTAAGGTCCTGCGGCGACCCGGAAGTACCGGAAAGGGTTACTTCCGGGTTTCGCCGCTCACGCATGCGCAGAAGCGCAAAATGACGTCACATGCATGCGCAGAAGCGGCAAATCGCAACCCGCACGTGCGCAGACGTGCCGCTGTGGGTTGCGTTCTGCTCATGTTGTGAACGGGCCTCCAGAACGGATCCCATTCGCAACCAGAGGTACCACTGTATTGCTTCCCTCTGTGTGAAAAGTATTTTTAATTGTCAAAAACAAATGGGAGGGGCTCAGGTGTATGCTGGAAACATGGAGGGGAAAGGATAATTTTGCTCATTGGTGGTGGTTCTGTTATTAAAACTATAAAATGTATACTAGATCCTATTAATGACACGCTGAGAGTTAAAATTAACACAGGATCCCAAGATGTTTTTATTAGCAATTTCCACAGGAATTTTATTATTTGATTTGACCACGGCCCATCAAGATTCAGCATGCCCAAAACTTGAAACCTCCCGCCCCCCCAAAGTGACACATAACAGCACAGGATTTAGCACAGGGGTCTGCAACCTGCGGCTCCGGAGCCGCATGTGGCTCTTTTACATTTTTGCCGCGGCTCCAGGGCGGATACTAGCGAGGGGAGGAGGCGCATTGTGCGCCCCGACACTCCTCACTGTGGTGGCCGCTGTACTGGCTGTGACGTCGCATGGGGCGGTGCGTGCGTTAGTCACGCACTGTCCCGACGTCACCTTCCCGCCCGCTGTCAGATCGCGGCTCCGGAGATATATTTGTTTTAAATGTCGCAATGTTTTGCGGCTCCCAGTTGTTGTTTTTTCTTCGGAAACGGGTCCAAGTGGCTCTTTTTGTCTTAAAGGTTGCAGACCCCTGATTTAGCAGTACTCGGGCAATTTACTGGAGCTATCTGGGGAATGACAAAAGGTATGTAATCTCAATTGTTTTGAGAGAGACTGAAAGCGTTGCAAACTTTATTGCAATAGTAGACCAAACAGAATGACTGGAAATTCTTTTCCATTACTGTAAATTGTATTAATGAACTGTTTTGTGATTCTCTCATGATTTCAGGGCAGGCTACTAGTACATTTTGTCCTTTGAAACAAAAAGACTGCACACCCATGATGACACATGTCACAAAGAGCAGCTGAGGTGACATTTGAACTGGGGACTTCCTAGTGCAATATGTGTTTTGGGACGGACAACTCTTTCATGAAAATCTTGGGTCTCTGTTTTAAAAAAGCAATCTTCTAGTGACTGTTCTTGCAAATATTGTTATTGTTATCAGATACATTTCTGGTTCCTTTATTCGTGAAAAGTGACCCAAAGTGGCTTAAAAAATACTAACACTAAAACAAAGAATAAAATTGAAAACAAACCCTAAAAACTAACCATAGTATATAAAAAGGCAGAACTAACACAACCCAGGGATGCGGGTGGCGCTGTGGGTTAAACCACAAAGCCTAGGACTTGCTGATCAGAAAGTCGGCGGTTCGAATCCCCGAGACGGGGTGAGCTCCTGTTGCTCGGTCCCTGCTCCTGCCAACCTAGCAGTTCGAAAGCACATCAAAGTGCAAGTAGATAAATAGGTACCGCTCCCGTGGGAAGGTAAATGGCGTTTCCGTGCCAGAAGCGGCTTAGTCATGCTGGCCACATGACCCGGAAGCTGTACGCCGGCTCCCTCAGTCAATAAAGCGAGATGAGCGCCGCAACCCCAGAGTAGGCCACGACTGGACCCAATGGTCAGGGGGTCCCTTTACCTTTAACACAACCCACCCAACTAAGTTAAGAGGCCACAAGTACACCTAAAACCCTTCAAATAAAGGACATAGAACCTAGCTGAAAATAAATGTTTTTGCCTGCTGCCTAAAAATAAATACGATGCACCACGCATATCTCCTGGGGGAGAGCCTTCCACATGCAGGGAGCCACCACTGAGAAGGCCTGTTCTCAAGTTTCCACCGTCTGCACCTCCCTCAGAGGTGGGCACAGAGAGAAGGGCCTCCAGTGATGAGCACAGGGTCTGGCTAGTTCATGTGGGGAGAGGTGGGCCTTAAGATCCTGAGCTACTTACGTCTTTCTAGGTCAAAAGCAGCTCGTTCAATTGCGCTGGAAACTAATTGGTAGCCAGGGCAGTCGTGCCAGAATTAGTTTCACGCTCAAAAGCGCATTAGCAACATTTGCAGACATTCCCAAAGCCAGAGGAGCTGTGGAATTAAGCTCCACAGATGCCAGAGCTTCAGCACCTTGTCTACGCCAGCGCAAAATGCCTTGCAAAAACTTAATCTGGCAAAGTCTGGAGAGAAGGAAGCCTGCCAGCGCGAGGAAATGAAGGCAGGGCTGGGAAAAGACGACACAGAGGGTCTTACAAGGGATAAGGGTAAGGTAGAAATCAGGTGCAACGGAACAGTAGCAGCAACTTTGGAAGGAGGGAACTTTGCTCCCAGCCTTCATCCACAAACCACATAGCAGGGGCCAGAACCAGTCTCTTTGATTCAGAGGGGCTTGCAGGGGGCCTGGACTTCTTTGCTCCCCCTTCCCAAAGAGCTCCTTGCCCCTCCCAATTGGCTAGGAGAAGCTGTTGCAAAGCAGGGGAAATTAGGGGAAGGGCTTTGAAAAACTGGGCCCTGTTGTGGCTGGATTTGGGGGTATCTTGCAGCAGAATTTTAGGGGGATTGCTTTAGCACAATGTACATGCACAGCCCCATTTACTGTCAATTTACCGTATTTTTCGCTCTATAAGACGCACCAGACCACAAGACGCACCTAGTTTTTGGAGGAGGAAAACAAGAAAAAAAACCATTCTGAATCTCAGAAGCCAAGAGGGATCGCTGCACAGTGAAAGCAGCCATCCCTCTTGCTGTTCTGGCTTCTGGGATAGCTGCGCAGCCTGCATTCGTTCCATAAGATGCACACATATTTCCCCTTACTTTTTAGGAGGGAAAAAGTGAGTCTTATAGAGCAAAAAATACGGTAAATTGCTTGTGCTACCCTAGGAAGGAGTCCTCCCCCCCCCACTCCATTGCCCCAATCGTCCCTCCAAAGGAGCAAGAGGCCTGTTATTAAGGTAAGAAACTCTGGCAGCCCTTAAAAGCTGCCCTCAAAGCATCCTTTTTACACACCAGAAC